TACTCTGGGCATGTCCAGCCTCAGGTTTGCTGCTTTAACTGGAGGAATTATTTTTGGAAAGAAATAAAACATGTACTGGGAGCCCTCAGCCCTTCACTCAGACCATGTCTTTTTTTCCCTCAAGACCAGGCTGGGCAGAACCTCTCCCTTTGACGAGAATTAGGAGCAGAACCTCATGTGCTGGGCTCTGCCCTCTGCATCTGTTCAGTTGCTTCTTAACAGGCTTTGGGTCTGGTCTTTTGACTCTCTAGGCTTTTATGTGCCTGTAAGTTGGGGATGATGATAGTGCTCAGTGGTGATGTTTGAAGGAGAAATTGATGGCTGTGAGGCCTCAGTGGTGAAGCCATGGAGGGGCGAGGGGCTGGTGATGACACACTCCACATCTGTCGTGGCTTATGGGTACAGGGTGGTGACCTGCTGATGGGGGAGTTGCCTGCATCTGTGGGGGCCTGGTGTAGTAGGAATCTCGAGCAAGTGGAGCAGAAGCAACGGCTCAAATAAACACTTGCAGATGGTTGTGGGGCACTGCTGGCTCTGAGGCATCGTGCTGGGCTTCCCAGAGACCTCAGCCAGGGATGGGTAAGAAGGCTGAGCAGTTTGGTTTTTCTGAAAGAGGACTTGTGGCAGGACCTCATGTCAGGCTGATGGGAGCTGCTCAGAGAGGGCAGGTTGGCTCATCTGACCCTTGAGGGTGTCTTGAAAAGCATGGACTGCTTGGCTGTAAGCAAGGGAGCAGGCTCTTTGCCTAAGCTCCCCTTCTCCAGATGCTTTTTATTGCTGCTGTATGGAATTAAATAGCAGGGAATTAAGCAGATTCTTATGTGCCTTCCCTGTTCATCGCAGATTCCCCAAGGACAGTTTTAGTCCCTGTGGTGGGTAAATAGGGCTGACTCTCTGCATCCTGCAGCTGAAGGCCCCGTCTGAGCACCAGAGGAGCGGGGTTGCATGCCAGGAGAGGTAAAAGCACAAGGTCTGGCACTGGAGGGAGCTGGCTTGGAGGAGGAGGAGGCAGGAAGGATGTAAGTGTGTATTTAGGCCCGCTTCAAGGAAAGCTGCAAAGAGGCATTGGCATTTATATACAGGAGTTAACACATAGGGTTTGGGTTTGGGACTTTTTTTCCCCCCCTAGTTAAAAAGACCAGGTTCAGTCTGAGTAAAAATTGGCCTTTCCTCCCAGTTACTCAGCTTCAGCCCTGCTTGTGTTGCTGGCTGTGCAGCTGCCGTGGCCTCCCACAGCAGGCAAACTGGAGTGCCTGGAGTAGGGAAACCATAGGAAGCGCTCACTTCCACCCTTTCTCTTTCTTGGGAGGCAGCTTTTTTTATAGCCATTGTGAATGTGTCCAAAAGTAGCAAAGAGCCTGGGAGGCCGCTCTGTGTTTCTTCAGCCTTTTGCAGGTCAGCTTGAGCTTCTCCCCATGTTCCCCTCCAGTAAGTGGATGTAACTGGGATTTACACAAGGAGCCTAAAAGTCAACAAATGAAAATTATTGGAATGGACTTTCAGAAAAAGGGGGCCTTTGGGGTTTTGCTTTCAGAGCTTGGTAGACGTGCGCTTTGCCTCTTGCACAGCGCTGTGGGGCTGTGTGGAGGAGCCGCCTGTGGAGAACCTCGGCACCAGGGGAAGTTTGTGCCTGGGTCCCGGCGCTGCTTGGTTTAATGAGGCGTGTGCTGGCTTTTGGCAGGTTTCTGACTGGCTGCTGCTCCGTGCCACCATCCCTCATTAGGTAGGGTGTTTTTAGGCGCTGGATTGAATTTACTTCCATCCCGTGCAGACCTAGTGGTGGTCTGCTTTTTACACACTCCAATTTACAGAGCTAGAGCCAAGCTACTAAATTATTAAGCTGAAGGTTTTAATAGAAACCCCTGTGTAGGCTTAAATTGTTTCCACTCTATTTGGAGTTTCCTGCTCTGCTGATTTTTATTTTGTCCTGTGCATGAAAGCGTGGAGGGAGGAATTCACAGGAAAGCACACAGGCAAAGAGGAAGAATTTGGCCTGAGAGCACTAGAAAGTACAGACGAAATAAAAGGTTAATTGGTACTATATCCAGCTCTGATGAAGATGATAGGGGGGGAAAAAAGCTTCCTAATCCCCATGACAGTTCAGCGGAAACTTGTGTGCTTGTTTTCAATGCTGTTTATAACTTAGGTTTCTCAATAAAATATTTTCTTGCCAGACTGTTTTTGTCTTGACCGCTTCCCCAGGGCTTGAAAGGGACGTTTGTCAGCAAGCACAGCTACCCTGCAGCCAGCGGGACGGCAGTGCTTGCTCAGGTGAGACTTTTCTGTGGTAGGGGATCCCCCTTCCAGCTTTGCACCACTTCCACCCAATCCTTCCCTTGCTGCAGCCTCTCCCTTACAGCCCTGCACCACGGTGTGCTGGTCAGGACTGTGCCTGTCTGTGAAGTACTGCGTAAGTCAGATCTGGTCTGCACAGTTTGGTTTTTAGCAACGTGCCAATAAATTTGTGTTGTCCATGATGACAGCTACAGTCACTGTCCTCCACCAAATGGGTTGACTCTGTCACATAGTTAAAATGAGGGATGTTGTTTGAACCTGGGGCTCCTGGTAGAGCAGGAGTCCTCAGCAGTGATTCCCTGAGGCTGCTTCAGCATGGGGGCAGTAAGATGGGGAGAGGTTTGAAAAAGCAGTGATAGGAGGAGGGAGGAGACAGTGGGCTAAAACTGCTTTCCACCACGGCAAAGCGTGGTTGCAGGGTGTGCTCCAACCACTCAGATGTACCAGTTTGAAGGGCCATCATGCTGGAGCGACTGGGGTTGTCAGGCACGGCTACCGCAAGGTAAAGCAACCAAGCTTGAGGGATTGGAGCAGATCGGTTACCGAGCTCTGAATATATGGTACATCTTACAACGTGTGAAACAGCTTAAACCATCTGACTTGGCTCACGTGCGTGCAGTACTAGCAGCTATTGGATTCTGGAGTTTACAGGTCTGGCTGAAGAGAAAGTGGGGCTGTGAACTATAAAGGCCACCTTTGTCACTCAATGGCAGGAATAGCACCGCAGTTCCTGTCATTGTCATCACGCTTGAGCTGTGTTTGGGTACTTACTGTGTTTAATTGCATGGCTGATGTACTTAATGTCTCTCCTGGGGTCACTCATAACACATTTATTTTAAGGGTTTGGGGAAACCAGGGACATTAGCAATCCACTGTGGTTCTTTCCCAAGGCAGGGCTTTTCCAGACAACGATGGTAAATAACAGCGGTGACTTAGTCACAGAGTAACCTAGCTAAGCTGTGAAATTAGCACTGGCAACTGTGGTAGAGCTTAATGCTTGCAAATGAATGATCTCCACTGAAAACACACTACAGGTGTAGGCAGAGACCATGAGTTCCCTGGGTTTGGATAACTTGAAGGATATGCATATAGTTTATTGGGAAATCCCTGGCAGCACCTCTTGCCTTTCAGCCCTGTAAATAAAGGATTTTCTGATTGAATACTCAGCCTTTGGATGTAGAAGTGAGGTGGTCCTGTGTCCTCCCTGGTGTGTAGCTGTGAATGATCCTGTTTCATTACAAACTTGTCATATCCCAACAGAGGAGCCTGTCTGTACCTGGCCGGCAGCTCCAGTGGGGTGTCTAACGTGCTGCTTGGTTGCTTTTAGGAAGGACGACGTGCTGAAAGGCCTGTGGTGACAGTCGGCCTAATGTGCCTCGCTCTGCTTGTTGTTTTTCCAACAGATGGACCTCTCGGTGGAAACTCTTTATAGCTTCATGCAGGAGCGCCAGAAGAAATATGCCAAGTATGCGGAGCAGATCCAGAAGGTCAACGAGATGTCTGCTATCCTGCGCCGGATACAGATGGGCATCGACCAGACCGTCCCGCTGATGGAGCGGCTGAACAGCATGCTGCCGGAGAGCGAGCGGCTGGAGCCCTTCAGCATGAAACCCGACCGGGAGCTGAAGTCTTAGCCGACCCGCCAGCCTCCCCCTCCTCACCCCAGCGTTCTTCGGCACAGGCGTGCTTCCGAGGGGCCGGGCTGGCAGATGTTGGAGGATGGCAGCGCTGCCTGCCAGGGCATTGGGGGGAGAGCGGAGT